AACCAGGTGTTTCATTGCCTTTAAATTACACAATAATTTTACTGGAGAAACTTGTCAGTTTGATTAAAAAAACAGTGAAGATTATTATTTTTTCCTGTGCAGAGAACTTCCTCTGCTATAATTTATTTTAAATAAATATATCAAAGCTCCTCAGTTGAAAACACTAAAATTATAGAAAAGATGTTTAAAAACTTCTTTCCTCAGAAAGTCTTCAGTCCTAAGAACACTAAACTGTAACTTTTAATAAGTTCACAGTGTACTCATATTTAAATGAAAATGTTTGACCTGTAAGCAGAAAGCTTATGGATGTTGGGTTTTGGTCTGTATTTCAAAGAGGAKGAGGAGGAGAACGAGGAAGTTCTCCTCAAGCAGCTCCTGAAACTGTCAACCTGCTGACTGACAACATTTGTATACAGAACAATATACTTATTAAATTAAATTTTATTTTCCATTAACGTGTTTCGGGGCTAACGCTAAAGCTAACATGGTAAACTGAAGCAGAAGTGAAGTGAGCTCAGGTGTGTTACCTCTCCCTGCAGCCGGCTCACTGTCGCTGTGAGGTTCAGCATCAGTTTAGTGATGTTCTCCAGCTGGCTCTGCAGGACCTGGATGGACTCGGTCTGCTTTTGGTCCTGTTAAAAAGAGCAGAGAAAACTTGTTGAGTCATCTCTCAGCCTGTTTGCAGCTCAGTTTCTTCTCCCACATGAAGTAAAAGTGACCTGCTCCTGGGCGATGCGGGAGGTGTTCTGCAGCTTTATGATGGTTTTATTAAAAGCTTTCTGCATCTCCTCCATCTGTTTACGGTATCTGAAGAAGACAAAAGGACACAGCTGTTCAGATGTGTGAACAATAAGTGTGTCTTCAGGACACAGTCAGTGAGTCACCTCTGGCTCAGCTCCTCCAGGTATCTGCTGGACAGACTCATGTTCATCTCCAGAGCTTTGATCCTGTTGTTCAGCCTCATGAAGACGCTCTCCTTCTGACTGGAGCCGTGAACCGAGCCTCCGTTTCCTGCCCCACCGTTAGAATCCAGTCCGTTCTGTAGCTCTGCATAGAAGTCTGTAGCTGAGCGCTGGTTAGCGTTAGCATTTAGCAGGTCCCCCTCCACTGACTCCTCCCCCTGATGGAGCTCTGTCTGTGTGAGGGGGTCCCCCTGCTCCCCCTGAGCTGGGGGGGTCTGTGTGGTCCCACTAGGTGAATCTGTGTGGATGTCGGTGGGTGGGAGGGCTGCTGGCAGCTCAGTGGGAGGAGTCAGGAGGTCAGTGGGAGGAGTCACAACAGGAGCCAGCAGGCTGGAGGAGAGTTTCTCAGCAGCTGGAGGTGGAGGGGAGCTGACAGAAGGAGTGAGGGGGGTACTGCTGGCCTGCTGGGTCTCTGGTACCGAGACGGCTTGGAGGGGGGGTGTGGGGACGGGGTCCAGGGCCACATCTTTCTCAGAAGGAAACTTCTCCTGGAACAAGGTGGGCTGCAGCAGGGAGCTCTGAGCGTCTGACATGCTGTGAGGAGGGAGGGAGGAGGTCCTGCTGGGCTCCAGGAGGAGGCTGTGTGGAGTGTGTGTGTCTGCTGAGGGCTGAGTGTGTGTGTGTGTGTCAGCTGTGTGCACCTCAGTGTGAGGTGAACCCTCACTGTGGCCTGAAACAACCAGCTCAGGTTCTGCAGCCTCTTCTGTGAGGGGCGGAGCTTCCTGAGGAGGTGCAGGAGCAGGGGCCGGTGCAGGTGTGTGCTGGGGGGCGGGGCTCTGTCTATCAGTGGGGGGGTGTCTCTTCCTGAAGCTGCGCAGACGCTCCTTGGCCAGCCGGGCAGAACACCAGCGGTGCAGCAGCTCCGGCAGCGTGACCACGCAGGACAGAGACAGAGAGGTGAGGGACGAGAAGGGACAGGAGGTCTGACTGACCCACTGGTTCCTGTCAGCCTCCTTCCTCACTTTCTCCTCCTCATCCTCCTCTCCCTCCTCCAGCAGAATGACAGTAGACTGGCTGAGGTCTTCGTCCTCCTCCTCCTCTACAAGCGTCACGATCTGTTTGTCCTCACAGGACTCAGGCAGTGGGAGGGYAGAGTCTCCAGAGACAGAGGACTCTGCAGACTTCTCTGGCTCAGATCTGAGGAAACATGAGAACAATGTGACTCATCATATCGAAATGAGGATTAAGTCAAATTAGGTCAAAATGACCTAATTACATTTTCACATTCTTGTCT